CAGTTTTAGGCAATAAGGGACTTAAATTTTCTATTTTTCTGAAGAGAAGTCAAATTCTGGAATGACAAACTGAAGACACAATAAAATAACAGAAGTATAAAGCAGGCAAAAGACAATAATGCTCAAAACACAGACAAGTAAATTAGCATGTAGTAGAGCATCTCTCTCTCTCTCTCTCTGACATATACACAATGGAACAGTATAGCAGTTAAAAACACTCTTTATCAGGAGAAAACAAAAACACAAATTTGAAAAGATATGCATCCCTATGTTTATCAGCACTATTTATAATATCCAGGATATGGAAGGAACCTAAATGTCTATCAATACATTAATAGATAAAGGTGTGGTGGTATATGTATGCGTTATGTAAATAATGTAATATTACTCTGAAATCCTGTCATTTGCAACAACATGGATGGACCTTAAGGGTATTATACAAAATGAAATAAGTCAAAGAAAGGCAAATCCATATGATTTCACCTATACATGGATTCTAAAAAACAAAAACAAAAACAAAGCCAGGAACAAACAAACAAAACAGTAACAGACTCAAACATATAGAATACAAACTGGTACTTGCCAGATGGGAAGGGAGGGGGGTGGAAGGATGGATGAAATAGCTGAAGGGGATTAAGAGGTACAATCTTCCAGTTATGAAATAAATAAGACATAGGGAAATAATGTACAGCATAAGGAATATAGTCAATAATATTGTAACAATTTTTGCATAGTGGCAGATGGTAACTAGACTTATTGCAGTGACCACTTTGTAACTTATGGAAATATTGAGTCACTATCTTGTATACCTGAAACTATTACAATATTGTATGTCAACTACTCTTTAATAAAATATATACAATGGAATATTGTTCACCCATCAAAATGAATGAAATCTTGCCATTTGTAAGGATGTGGATGGAGCTAGAATGTATTATGCTAAGCAAAATAAGTCAGAGAAAGACAAATACCATATGATTTCACTCATGTGGAATTTTAGAAACAAAACAAATGCACATATGGAAAGTGGGTGGGGGGAGAAAAGAGAAGGAAACAAACCACAAGAGACTCTTATGATATGGAACAAACTGAGGGTTGATGTGAGTGAGGTGGGTTGGAGATGGACTAGATGGGTAGTAAGGAGGGCACTTGATGGGATGAGCATAGGGTGTTGTAAGTAAGTAAGGAATCACTGAATTATACTCCTGAGACTAATATTGCACTGTATTTTAACTAAAATGCAAATATATCTATATGAAAAAAATTAAAATAAAAAATGAATAAAAGCACTGTCTATATCAGACTGCCTGGGTTTGAATTCTGCATCTACTACTTAGTATGTAACCTTGGGACAAGGTCCCTAGCCTTTCTTAGCCTATGTTTCCTCATTCATAATATGGAGCAAATAAAAGTGATAACTTCACAGATACATAAGGATAATACATAAAATAGTGCATGTAAAAATGCTTAACATAGTATCAGATACAGCAACTCCTTAATGTGTTTTGTTTCTATAAATAATAATAGCAGCAACAACAATATTAGTCATGTAATAAGGTATCCCTTTTTCTGAAGTTTAACAGAGAATAGGTTAATAAAAGATATGGCTAGAGATGGCTTTGTAGGTAAAAGAGATATAGGAGGTTCTGAAGCCTAAGTGCTTTCTTTCCTTTTCCTCTGGTGTGTGAAAGGTTAGACTGTTGGTAAGTGAAAAGAAAGCAGGGGGGAGGTTAGAAGACTTGAGAAGAGCAGGTAAGTTATGATATAGCCGCCATGGAAAAATGAAAGGCCACTGAATAGGAACAAGTAAAATAACCGCTGAGATGGCAGTGAGAGTCCCGCTCAGGTAAAAGCTAAAATGTCATAAGACACTAATTTCCCCAGTTCACCAAAGAGAAGAGGATATAAAGACACAGAGTTATGAGCAGAATGAGAATACTAGGGAGCTCAGATTTTATTCTGCAAATTCTGGGAGACACTGAAGGTTTTGGACACAGAAATCACATGTCGGATATAGATTTTAAGTAGACTACACTAATTGTATTGACGGGGGAATTAGCAGAAGCAAGGCAACCAGTTTGGAGCCTCTCCCATTAGTGCAGATGATTCTCCACTTGTGAAGTTTTCCTAAGTTAGGCTGTCAATATAATATGAGGGTAAAACGTATTTGGGTGTATTCGTACAGAAGTTAACTTAATTTTAGCTTTGACTTGGAGAAATATGCTTTAACATAATTTTTGCTTTTATGAACCTAAAATATGCTCTTTTTAATTTCAGGATCATATTTGAGTTTAATAATTGTCGTATAATTCAATTTGATAAACATTTACTGTCTATCGTATATAAGATATTATTCTAGCACCCCAGTACATCCAGTTTCTATAAATAATAATGGCAACAATAGTAGCTGGTGCTTAAAAGACTAAGGCCTATCATTATTTCAAAAATATTTTCCAAAAGTAATACAAATCAAAACGACACTGAGATACCACTTCACACCAGTCAGAGTGGCTAAAATGAGCAAATCAGAGAACACGAGATGCTGGCGAGGATATGGAGAAACGGGCACCCTCCTACACTGCTGGTGGGAATGTAAACTGGTACAGCCCCTCTGGAAAACAGTGTGGAGTTTCCTCAAAAAAATAACAATAGAACTCCCCTATGACCCAGCAATAGCACTGCTAGGAATTTACCCCAAGGGATATAGAAATGCTGAGGCATAGGAGCACATGGACCCCAATGTTCATAGCAGCACTCTCGACAATAGCCAAAACATGGAAAGGTCCTAAGTGTCCATCAACGGATGAATGGATCAAGAAGATGTGGTTTATCTATACCATGGAATACTACATGGCAATGAGAAACAATGAAATCTGGCCATGTGTAGCAACATGGATGGAGCTTGAGGGTGTTATGCTGAGTGAAATAAGTCAGGCAGAGAAGGACAAATATCATAGGTTTGCACGTATAGGAGGATTAGGAGGAACTTAACTAAGTAACAAGGGGGAGAAGAAGGGGGGAAATGGTAGGGGAAAAGGAGAGAGGCAAACCATGAGAGACTCTTGAATGCTGACAAAAACTGAGAACTTATGGATGTAGGGGGGAGGGGGGGATGAGCATGGAGGAGGGCACTTGTGGGGATGAGCACTGGGTGTTATATGGAAACCAACCTGATAATAAACTATTTGTAAAAAAAAAATATTTTCCAAAAGAGAGATTATCTAAACTTTATTTGGCAAATCCTGATAGATACTACCTTGGGTAATTTACATAGCATAAATTACTTTGAAATGTCCTTGACCTTTTTTTCCCCCCTTACAGACATGTAACTAGGGATGGGGAGAGTTAAATATGAGGACCAGGTGACTTCATGTACACAGCCCCGGAATTATTTATGGTTATGTGCATAAACAAGAAATCTCTCCCATTTTCTATTTTGCTTTTAGTTCTGAAGGTATATTGCTTTTTATGCCCCCAAACTTAATTTCCTCAGTGCGGCACCAAGGATATTCCTCTTGAAGGACTTGCTTGGAAAACTAATACATCTTCCAAGATAAGCTGCATTCAGAAAAAAAAAAAAAAAACGGCTTTAGAGAAACTGTGTAGTGTACCTACTGTAAAGCTCATAACCATCATGACACAGCTGTATTCTCAGATAGTATATAGCCTTGCTTCAATTATAATATGAATTCAAGTTGCTTAGGTTTCAAATGTGGACTTTGGTCTAGAAAATTTTATTATTTAATATTGCACTAAAGCAATGCAATTTAATAAATAATATCTAGCCAGTTCAACTGAATAATTTGCCTAATTCAATAAAGAGAAAAATATCTTCCTCAGGTACTTTACATTAGCTCTATCTCATCCTAAATATACACTCCTCATTTTATTTTCAAGGATTTGACAGAATCTTCACACAACAGCATATGCAATGCCATATCTGAAGATTAATAAGCTCTAAATGTGGGCAAGAATTTATTGCACATGTTCAAAAGGAATGCTCTCTGCCCCATCTATCACATTTGACTTTTACCAGGATTTTTAAACTGCAAAGTACAAAATCAGATCAATTAAAATATATTACTATTAAAAATGTAATAAAGTATTTGATGGAGCACAGTATTTGACTACTAGTTCCAATGTTAATTTTGAGTCTTAGTATTCAGATGTGAAATTGTCAGGAAGCCAGGGTAATGTGTACCGGCATAATACAGCTGCTTATCCATACAGTAAACAAATTTGTATTGAATACGTAAGTTTAAAATAGCTTTATCTCCAAGAAATTAAATAAATCACCATCTCCTCTTTCCCATTTTTGTTTTGCCCATTATTTCCGTAGCAGGTTTGAGGAATGCCTAAAACATGTAACTATATTCTTTAATACATAATTTATATCTAGTCATCCTTTATACCCCTTAAAATGAAGAGGGGGTGAGGAAACAACTCATTCCAATAATGATTTAATCATACTAAAACACAATGTTTTAATGAGGTTTTTCTTCCCAATCAAAACAGTATATTTAATGCTTTCAATTAATTAATGACACCCTAGAGGAAATTTGAAAATTCTTGTGCTTTCACTGACACAATACATACCACAAAAAAGATTTTAGAATATTGTTGTTTATCTAGTTACTACTCTTTTATTTAGCCTAAATTTGGGGGGGGGGTGTCAAACTCTAAAATCAAGGTCTAAATAAAAGAAAAAAATAGCCAATACAGTAATATATACCACTTTTCATATATTAATAGAATTAAATATCAGGACTAGTATGGAAGAGCTCCCATGAGATATCTTGAGGTATTCTGTAAAATAGAAATATAAATTTCTTTATTTTTCAATACCATGACAAATAATAATAGTTAAATATTTTTTTCTGACAGCAAATTATGTAGTTGTATAGTTTGAAAACAAATCAACAATTAAATTGTCCTTTTCATTATTTCTGACAAGTATTATACCCCAGTTGAGTTTGTGTGTTCTTATGCTAGATACATACCACAACTCCAAATTGTTCAGGCTCACAGAGATCATGATATTCATTCTTCAGCTGTGCCAATTCACAGAGTACTTTCTGCTCAGGAAGATGTTTTACAAGGTTCTAAAACAAAATAAAAGTATAAAAACTTAATATTATTAAGACTAGGAAACATGCATTAATAACTCTAAAAGTGATTAGGAAAGAAAATTTCTTTTGCTAGATCAAATGGAAAGAAATGATATTGAAAAACTGACTAACTTACTGTGCCTTAAATACCTAGCATAATTTTTACACTTTATTTTCTATTAGCTAATTCATATAGAAAACAGAAAAATACTATGTAGAATTAATGCATGTGTAATAATAACAAAAGTCAACTGTACTCTTCATAATTGGCAAGTTTTTGAATAATCTTTAATGTTATAAAGCACACCAAGACTGTAAAAAAAAAAATTTCCCACTATCTACATCAGTGTTTAAATACACAATGCATTCCCACTTTAATGGAGAATCAAGCAAAAGTGAAGTCTGATACCTGTTCAAGTTTGATGCCTGAGAGAATCAAAGTTGATTAATTCTTCTTGACCTAGTTTATCTTGACCTATGGTACAATTCTAATTATCTTTACATTAGCATGCAGCCAACATTTTGGGGACTTATATAGGATTTCAAAAGGCACATGCAAAGAAGAAAAGCAGGAAAATAAGATTTAACAAAGTAGGGTTGACACAAAATGGAAGAAACATAAGTTCCAGGGATTGGTCCCACCACCAAATCAATCAGTGAGCTAGAAAGAGCAATTTAAACAAACTATTTCAAAACACTGAAACCTGACTGGATGCTTACAACAAGGGACATGTTTGTTGAAGGGACACACTGGTGTTCTCTGGTAAGAGAATGATATGCACAAAACAGCTCTCAAATCCCATTCCTCAGCACCACCATGAAGATAGTGCCTGAGTCCTTGAGGGGCTGGCTCATGTCAGGGTGGGCACTAGGGATCTTGTCCAAAATTTGAGGATGTACATTTTGGTTGGTTTGGCAGTTCCCTGAGGGACCTGTGTAGGTGTTGGCCTTAATTTCAACCCTCTTGGTTTGCAGTAGCTTCCCCAGATGGTATCTATCAGAAGACTTAAATAGGCGGAAACAGGGGGCATCTGGGTGGCTCAGCCGGTTAAGCGACTGACTTCGGCTCAGGTCATGATCTCACGGTTCGTGGGTTCGAGCCCGGCATCAGGCTCTGTGCTGACAGCCAACTCAGAGCCTGGAGCCTGTTTCCAATTCTGTGCCTCCCTCTCTCTCTGACCCTCCCCTGCTCCCGGTGTCTCTCTCTCTCTCAGAAATAAATAAAACATTAAACTTTAAAAAAAAAATAGACGGAAACAGTTCCCCTGATTTTTGGAACCAGACATTTTAAGGAAATCTTTGTCAGATCACTGGCTGACAGCAGAGATGATAAAACCCAAAATCCAGTAACCACACCCAAGGCATATATAGCTTGCAGCAATTGTTTAGAGAGATTACAAATAGATAGTTACAGCACTCAGCAAAGGAATATTAGCGGTCTATGCGAAGTAGAAAAATCAAGTTCCAAGAGTTATAATATACTCAAAAGTCTAGTTCTCAACAACACCAGAAAAATGACAAAGCATGCAAAAATTAGGGAAACATATGATAAACAGGAAAAATAAAAGAATATGACAGAAACAATCCCTGAAGAAGCTCAATTTTGGAATTAGTAGTCAAAAACATTAAATCAACTAATTTAAATATATTCAATGACCTAAATGAAACTATGAACAAATTTATCAGCTCTGATCAGGACTTCAAAGAAGTCCACAGTGAGGCACTTTGGATCAAACCAGCAAAAAAACAAAAACAAAAACAAAAGCAAAACAAAAAAAAGGAGTGATTTTAAAACAGCAGGAGGGAAGTGAATTGTCACATTTAAGGAATCCACAATGAGATTAATATCTGATTTCTTCAATGGAAGCCAAAAGGTAGTGGGATAACATATTTTAGGCCCTGAACTAAAAAGCCATCAAACAAGAATTCTGTATTCAGTAAAACTATCCTCTTTAAAACAATGATGGGAAACTAAGACATTCTAAAATTAACAACAATAACAACAACAAATATAATTTATTGCTAGCAAACCTGTTCTGTAAGTAATACTAATGGAAATACTACAGGAAGAAATAAAAGGACACTAAACAGTAACTCAAAGACCTAAGAAATAAGCAATTATAAAGGTAATTACATAGGTAAACATAAAAAAACCATGTTATTGTACTTTTGGTTTATAACTCTTTTGCTTCTATATGGGTCAAAAGGCAAATGCATGACACAATAATTATAAATAAATGTTAATGATAATATAATACATAACCATGTAATTTGTGACAAAAACAATATAAAAGAGATAAATATGTTTAGGAACAATGTATGGTTTTAAAAGTAATTTTGTATTATTAAAACTGGGTTAAGATATCAATTATAATCACTAAACGAACTCATAATGACAGAAAATCACACAAATATAATGATAGGAATCAAAATGCTAGGCAACAAAAATAGATAATAATAGAGAAATTAAGGAATAAAAAAACATGTGATACAGAAAACAGCTTAATGGCAGAACTAAGCTCTTCCTTTAAATGTAAATGAATTAAAATCTCTTAAAGGGAAAAGTTTGGAAGATTGGATTTAAAAACAAACATATCTATATGCAACCTACATGATACTCAGTTTTAGGTAAAAAGACACAAGACGTTGAAAGCAAAAGAATAGAAAAGTATATTCCATGTAAATAGTAACCACGCACACACACACAACCAAACTGTGGTGACTATATTATTGTCAGACAAAATAGACCTAAATTAAAAAAAAATAACAAGAGACAAAGAAGGATATTCTATATTGATAAAATGTTACCCATCAAGAAGATATAATTATTATAGTACATGTTCACCTAAAAGCAGAGCTCCAAAATAAAAAATCTATATATTAAATAAAAATTGACAGAATTGAGAGAAAAAGGCAATTCTAAAATAATAGGTGGGATATTTAATACTGAATTATCAATAATGGATATAACAGGAATACAGAAGAATAGTAAGGATTTGGACAACACTGCAATCTGATTAGACCTAATTTATACAGAGCATTCCTCTTAACAGTAGAATGTACCTTCTCTTAAAGTGCACATGGAACATTCTCCATGATATTTCACATATCAGATCACAAAACAAGTCCTAATAAATTTTGGTAGACTTAAATCATGAGAAATTACATTTATGATCACAATGGAAATGTCATTAGAAATAAATAACAGAAGGAAAAGTGGAAAATTCACAAATAATTCAGAATAAGCAAATAATCAATGGGCCATGGAAGAAATTGCCAAGGAAATTAGAAAATATCTTGATATTAATGAAAATGAAAACATGCTAAAACTTACAGAATTCAGCAAAAACCATGCTAAGAGGAAAATTATAGCAATGCGCATCTACATTTAAAAAAGAAGAAATATTTCAAATCAATAACCTGACTGTACACCTTAAGGGGCTAGAGGAAAGCACCCTTAAGCCAAAGCAATCAGTAGAAGGAAATACAAAAATTAAAAGAGGTAAACATGTAATTAATTAGAGAACTGAAAAACCAATAGAGTAAAATTAATGAAAATAAAAGTTAATTCCAAAACTGACAAATCATTAGACTAAGAATAAAAAGACAGAAGACTCTAATAACTAAAATCAGAAATAATAGTTGAGACATTATTACTGATTTTATATAAAAATAAAAAAGATTCTAATAGGCTGCTATGAATAAGTTTATGCCAACAAACTTGCCAACCTAGAAGAAATTGACAAATTCCTTGAAACATACAAACTACCAAAACTGAGTTAAAAAAAAAAAAAAAACCTGAAAATCTGAGTAGACCTGTTACAAGGACACTGTGTAAGTAATCAAAACTTCCCAACAAAGAAAAGCTAAGGGCCTGATAGGTTCACTGGTGAATTCCACAAAATATATAAATAAGAATTAATGCCAATCCTTTTCAATCTCTTCAAAAACATTAAGAATGGGGAACACTTCCTAACTCATTCTATGAAGCCATCATTGCACTCATACTAAAATTGGTCTAAGACACAAGACAACTACCTCAGATCAATATTCCTTAATAAATACAAATACATATTAAAAAATATACTGGGCAACATATAGCATAAATCCCATGGGAAAAAAACTGTATCATGCCCCACTGTAAGTTCTCTTTTGTTCTGTCTGCTTATATTTTCTTTCTTTCTAGTTAATTTTGTATTTCCATTAAACTTTAGGCCTATACAGAAAAGGACAAATATATGTTTGCACGTATAGGAGGATTAGGAGGAACTTAACGGAGGACCATGGGGGAGAAGAAGGGGAGAAATGGTGGGGGAAAGGGAGAGAGGCAAACCATGAGAGACTCTTGAATGCTGAGAACAAACTGAGGATTCATGGGTGTGGGGGGGGGGGGTGATGGGCATGGAGGGGGGCACTTGTGGGGATGAGCACTGGGTGTTAGATGGAAACCAACTTAATAAACTATTTGTAAAAAAAAAAAAAAAAAAGAAGTATAATACTGAAGGTATCTGTATGTGATATGCTGTTAGACAGAGATATATTAGTTTATTCAAATTTGTAAAGAACTTGCTATGCATGGAATCTATTAGGTGTTAGAAATACAAATATCAGAAAAACAGACTATTTTTACCAAAAATAGTAATTATATTAGGAGAGATCACTGTGTGCAAATAACTACCCAAAGTTGGAGGATATATTTTATATTAATATCACTATAATAAAATTGATACAAATTGATATATATATATTATAAATATAATAAAATTGATTTGTCTTAAAAAAGACTTTAGGCCTATAACGGCATCCATTGAATAACTGATAAGACCAACTTTAAAATATTATACTTTTTCACTTAAAAGAAATACCAATATTGATATAACAACATATACATAGACAAATGAAATTAAGATCAATTATTTTGACTCATTAATATGTTTCTTTATGAAATGAAAAGGTAAGTAAATACTAAGGCATTTTTCGAGAATATTTTCAAT